TACTCAGTCCTGCTTACCACTGTTTGTTATTCATGTGTGGTAAGGTTTTAATTACTATTCATCCATCAACATCTAAACAAGCAGAAACTCTCATCTTATTTTACCTTGCCAAAGGCCAGGCTTGCAGACGAGGATTAAACCCAGTCAATTTTCTCCACAAACTACCTCCCTGAATAGCAATCATGTCTGAGGTTTAATTCTGTATCTGAGATGGCCGGCAGCTCTGTGGATCACACAGATGAAGGGTAGAGATATATACACACTGGAATGATTTTCATTTTCTTTGTTGTACAGCATCCTATTCTGTTGCTGTATGATGAATTGTGTTTTTGAAGCTAGGTCTATAAGACAGTACTAGAACAAGGCACACAAGAGAGGACATATCCTCAGAGGTATGATGAACACTAGACGGGATCAAATAGGTTGCCTGGAAAAAGATCAGCAGACAGAACAGACAGAGAGAAACAAACAGCGAGCCAGAAATGGAAAAGATCATGTCAGGAAAAAATCAGCAGAAAATCATTTGTGAAGTGAGAAGATTTTAGAGAGAAATATTTGGTTCTGAGACGAACACGTATATTTTTAACTTTGTGAGGCTCACAAACATTCTTCAACTCAAGGAGGGCCACACTTACTGAAAGTTTTGGACATTTGCAAGCTCTGTGAAGACGTAACTCATCTCTCTTAATTCTGAATAATTGTTAAAGAAGGAAGCTCCCACGCCCATTTGACTCCGTTACAGTTTTTGTTTACAACTTGTCTATTATATCAGGAGCCCAAAAGGCGTTCTCCCAATGGAATTCAGGCATTAGTTCCAGCACAGGGCATTCAAGTACTGTGGGTGACAACACAGGTGTATAAAATGTATGTTATTTTCACTCTTTTCAAACACACCTTCAAGCAACAGCATAGCTACTCGGAGTCATTGATCTAAGTCTTTAGCGTTGCTGAACGACTGAAAGCAGATTACTTACTAAGCTCTCTATGATCTTTGCATTTTGGAACAACCGTTGATTTTTAGCTGGGATCAAACAGAGGATTTTAAATATGTGTGTTTGTATTTGTTAATAGGATATCTACATATCAGCATCTTGGATGCAGAGGGATCGTTCTCAAAAGGAAATCAGTATGAGTATGTTTAGCTGGCAGCACTGCTTTTATGAATTCAGTGTTTAAAGAAGTGTGCCTTGTGTGCTAGACTCCTGTTAGGAGTAGGAGTAATGCTCAGAAATGTTCTAACAATAATACTCTTGAAAGTTGATTTGTAGGCAGTGTGAAAGCTTGCTGTGAACCTGGCCTCTGATGGTAGCAGGCACGGCTCTGTGTGAAACCCATCAACAAAAGCCTATCGTATTGAGTTTGATGTTTTCAGTCTCACGCAGTCCAAATAAATGTGTGAATGGTCTTACTTCAACTTTAGTTCTGAGAAACCTGAAGGAAATTCTGGTGTTTTGTGACAATGATGACACACTCATTAAATCCTTTTATGGTTGAAAGAGAGGTTCGAGTTTTGCACAGTAAGGTCGTTCAATAGCTGACAGCTTCCCACCTTAACGTAACCGTTTAATTCAATGTGCTAATTTTCATCCTAGAACTGCTTCCATAGGTGAGAAATACATGACCTCACCTGTGAGTAGTCACATAGGAATTTATAAAAGGTAATATAATAATAGACAATATTGCAGTGTCATCATACAGCAATCGTCATAAAATGATGATTGCTGTCTGTACATCTGTATCTGAAGGTCAAATAGGAACTCTTTCTTTAGATCGTGTAAATTTTCAAGAAGAATTAGCTTTTAAAAAGGCTATAGCATGGGTATAGTCTCCAGGTGTCATAGTTTCCATTTCCCTGTGTGTGCTCGCGTCGACCTGGATCCAACTGATGGAAGTGGTGGAATATGGACATTTCCGAAAGCTGTGACCAAAGTTTACTGAGTGCCTGCCTAACAGTAGCTATTTAACACACAACTAGGTACACAGAGTACTTCATCACTCCTTGGACATTAATGTTTTTCATCTGATATTTTTTATGGTTTTGCTGTCGTTATCATCAAAAATACCTCGTCTTATCTGGTCTAAAGTGGCCATAAGTTGTGATATATACATTTCAAAGACAGATATAATGGACTCTTGAAGGCTGGCTTGTGATGAATATTAAAACTAATTTTGCTTAAAACGTGAAATAATGATATTAATGTTTATACTTGGCCCATTGGGGGTTATGAAAGGAAGCATGACTGACATATAATCACTGTTACAGCCCAAGCAGGCTGTGTGGGTTATCCAGCACTCTCTCTAAGTCGTGTGCCAGCCCTTGTTTCCTGTGGAGCCAATTTCCACTTAGTAATCAGCACTGGCTTAAAACTGGTGTGAGAAGTTTGCCAGCTCAAAGTGTGGGCCAGTGTTGAGCTACCAGTGAGTGGCTTT